CATATGCTCGATTCCGATTGCAAATATGAGTTACGATTCCGAGACCTCGTTTCTGATTACATTCACAGGTGAGACATTCGAACCAAAAAGTCCACAAATCCAATTTTAACTTTTTAATTGACCATCCCGATTCCAAGTCAGTCGACAATATACTCCATAAATTAAGAATGTGTATTTATTTATGTATAACATTGTATTCATCTGTGAATATCAGTTCATTCATTCATGAATGTATTTATTTATGATTAGAGGTATTCAGTTATTCATTTGTGAATATACCCATTTGTTAATAGCAATGTATTCATTTGTTAATAGCAATGTATTCATTTGTTAATAGTAATGTATTCATTTGTTAATAGCAATGTATTCATTTGTGAATAACAGTGTAATCATGTGTTAGTGAGTGTATTTATGTATGATTAGAGGTATTCTTTTTATTTTCAGTTGATTAAAAAAAGGAATTCGATTACTTGTAAATTGATATGTAATCATTTGTGCTTGGAGTAGTTTCAGATTTTTTGAAAAAAAAATCATTTGTGAATATAAATGTATTGATTTGGGGTTGGATTTCTATTCTTTTTTTTTTTGAAGAAAAAAAAACGAGAAATAGGAGAAAAAATTTGATTTTTTTTTCATTATTTAATTAAATTTTGGTAAAAATGTTTTTTATATTCCATTAATAAGAAAAATAAAAAATCGAATATTTCTTTTTTTGGTAACTGATCCTAAATTTAAGGGAATTTGATTGAATTTTATTTTATTTTAATTTAATTAAAATATATAATTACTTATATGCCCTTATATATTGATTGGTTCAGAACTGTCCTCGCGTTCTCAACATTTTAGGTGTTCTCATTTGATCCTTTCCATATATATATATATATATATATATATATATATATATATATATATATATATATATATAGTTAAGTTCAAGTGAGAAAATAAAAAAATGTTGAGAATGAGGGAATCATTTCCAGCCACTCATTTATTTTTGAGGAAAAAGTTTACGTCGTACCAGCGGAAATGGGAAAGGAATAAACATGTGTTTACCAACAAAACATGTTTCCTTAAACTATGCTAATCATTACTTTAATATATACAAAAACATAGTTTTTTTCGTTTTTTTTATTTATAAGAAGCTATTTTTATCGAAAAATAATTTTAAATATACTAAAATTCATTATTTTTTATTCTCTACAAATAGACATCCATATTGATATAGTTTTAATATAAAATAATTTTTTTTATATTTTCAGTTATCGTTATTTATAAGTGAATAAAAATGTATCAGATTTTTGAAACAGCATATTCGTTATTCACTTATGAATAAAAAATACGATTAATTTTTTTTATAGATTAAGTATCATTCATATATAAATATAACATATAATAAACTATTTATATCTTACATCAACTCTGGTCACATGTTATATTCACATATGAATCAAACATATATTGACTTTCCTCACAAGTTATATTTATATACGAATAACACATTTATCGTAATTTTGTTATATAGTTCATTTGTTATTCCTATATGAATAAGTAGTTGAAATTTTCAAAACACTTCATTTTTTTTAACATACTACTTATTTATATATGCATAACAAATTAATTGTAACAAAATCCTTAGAAATGTTTTGTTAATATATGAATATAACATATGACGACAATTAATACATGTTTAATTCATATATAAATATAACACGTGACGAAAGATGATGTAAAAAAAAATATATTTTTAGGTAAGAAAACTTTATAACGTGTTATATTCATATATAAACGATACTTAAACTGTAAAAAAGTGAATCATGCGTTTTATTAATAAGTAAATAACGAATATACTGTAATAAAAGTCTGATGCATTTTTATTCACTTATGAATAACAATAACTAAAACTCTAAAAAAAAAAAAAAAATTTATTTTATCTTAAAACTACATCAATATTGATGTCTATATATAGAGAATAAAAAATTATAAATTTTGATATATTTAAAATAAATTTTCAATAAAAATAGCATTCTAAAAATAAAAAAAACAAATATATATATATATATATATATATATATATATATATATATATATATATATATATATATGTGTGTGTGTGTGTGTGTGTGTTATTGTTTATTTTAAGGTAATGATTAGCATACTTTAAGGAAACATGTTTGGTTGGAAAAATACATGTGTATTCGTTACCCATTCCGCCGGTACGCTTAAGTGTTTTGCGGCAAAAATAAATGTGTGGTTGAGAATGATTCTCTCATTTTCAACCTTTTTTTTTCAGTTGAACCCTCTCTCTCTCTCTCTCTCTCTCTATATATATATATATATATATATATATATATATATATATATATATATATATATATATTCACAATGTGATTAGCATTAGAATCAGAGATTTTTACAAAAATATAGTGTTTTAAAATAATATTTACCAACTAATGGTATTCAGAAGTTATTTACTATATTGTATTTGTTTTAAAGATAAAAAGAAGACAAAACTTTAAAAATGGTCCCTGTGGTTTCCGAAAATCTGAAGTTCTTATAGATGGTCTCTGTGGTTTCAAAACTCTTAACAAATGGTCATTTTCGCTAACTCCGTTAGCTTTTGACCATTAAGATAAGGGCAATTCTGTCATTTCACTTTCATAGGGACCATTTATGAAGTTTTACCTTATAGATATATATATATATATATATATATATATATATATATATATATATATATATATTTAATATTAAAGGGTCTCACCTTCTCTCTCCTGTCTCTCATCGTCTCTCTCTCTCTCTCTCTCTCTCTTCACTCTCTCTCTCTCTCTCTCTCAGATCTTGTATGGATGGAAGTGACAATGTTTGACTAAAAAAGTCAAAATTGGATCGAGACGTTTCTTAATTGCTCCAGACACCATCTCTACTTCTTCCACCCTCCTTCTCACATCTGGTTCCGGTTCTTCTGCCAATGGAAACTATAATGAATCACACAATTCGTTTACAAAACAAGTAGATCTCTCGATCCCTTTAATCTCATTCAAGAGTCCACAAGCATTTCTCATCATTCTCTTCTTCGTCTCCTTCAAACACACATACACACACATTTCCTTTTATCACATCAACTTCATCGAAAAAGATGCTACAAGGATCGTCGTATCATTAGACTTACACAACCCCACCGAACCTGGCCAAATGTAGTTGTAGAATCATTCTAGTCAAAGAAAAATCAAAAGTCACTTCTTGATTTAAACAAAGATCAAAAGGAATGAAGAACAAGAACACAAACACAAAGAAAGCATGACATTACTCAGGTGGTTGAATTCTTCTGAAACGGATGAATTTGAAAATCTCTAAAACACAAACTCACATGATTTTTGAAACGAATGAGAAGAAGATGATCCTTGAAAGCTACAATCGAAAACGCACACATACACACACCTATTAATCGAGCCATCTGAGATAAACAAAAGACATTCATGGTTTGATTTCACCCTTAAAATCGATTTCAGATTCGAATTTGATTTGATATTGCATTAGGGTTTACCAGGTTTGAATCTTGAGAGATCGACGTTGGTTGAATCTTGACAGATTCAAAATTACCACAAAACCCTCCCAAACACCGAATTCGTTGCCTTTCTAGTCAGACATAACGTTTTCAAACACCTTTCTCGTTGGACCTAAGGGTTACAGACACCCATCACACCCATCAGAGCTCTTGGACATGAAATGTGGGATTTTGGGTAATTTATGTCGAAGCTTTCATGTTGGAGTTTCATCAGGAAATGGAAGGGGGTTTGTGTGTGTGTGTGAGAGAGAGAGAGAGGGGTGGGGCCCTTTAATATTAAATAATTATATATTTTTTCTTTTTAAAAAAAAAAATAAGGTCAAACTTCATAAATGGTCCCTGTGGAAGTGAAATGACAGAATTGCCCTTCACTTAACGGCCAAAAGCTAACGGAGTTAGCGAAAATGACCATTTGTTAAAAGTTTTGAAACCACAGGGACCATCTGTGAGGTTTTTATAAAATTAGAGACTAAACTTCAGATTTTCGGAAACCACAGGGACCATTTTTGAAGTTTTGTCTAAAAAGAAAAAGAAACCAATAGTCCACAATGCCGGTCGCACTTTTTATCCCATCTTTCCTTTGAGGCCTCAAATGATCTTCTCCCTCGTTCTTAACGTTTCCATATCGTTGATGATTATAGCTCCCTGTATGCATGCAGAAGCCAAGCTGTGGTGATGAGTTTGTGTGATAACAGTAATTTCTTGCTTGGAATCATCCTTCTTCAAATAACTTTTACAGGCTCCTCTCTTCACACTTCACAGTATGTGTAACGCCTTCTTGTATCAAAGAAAATAGTGAATCTCATAACAATACATATCAGAGCTAGGCAACTGGCAACCATTTAGTGTTATTGGTCGTAGGGTAATATGTTTTTTTTTTTTTTCGTAAAGCTCCTGCATCTATGTTTTTGGTAATGGTCCTATTGGGTCTTTCATAGTTTCACTTGGTTGGTTATACGCCAAACGAGTTTTAATTTGGTTACCTAATTGTTTCTTAAAAGTAATATAATATAATTAATAAGTAAATATGTTTTAAAGTACACTAATGGGTAACTATTTTTTAAAAACAAAACTCTTTTGAAACGTTACCTTATTAAAGTATTGTCTTAAAAAAATCACTGATATAATTGACTATTTTTCGAGTTATAATTAATGTTGCAACTTGCAATACTAAGTTTTAGTTATTGATACCGGACCTCATCATAAACACTTTCCCATACCAAAGGAACTTTTTCAAATATAGAAACTTAAACTCAAAAAGAAATGTGAAAGTCGACTTCAAACCTAGCTAGTTCGATGCTAAAATAAGAACAATATATTGAAACCGACAAATATTAAACTTAAACTTGACGAAAAGAAGAAAAAAACAAACATTGAAGTAAAACGTGAACAACGAAAGATGAAAACATAGTAAGAAACTAATGTTTAGTTACAACTATGGACCTTGGGGCTTGACTGTATAGATGGTCTGAACAAGGGTAAGAACAAACAAAACGATTGCAGCAAAGAGCGCAATTATAGTCCATGGACTGCTGAAATATTTACGCTTCAACGCTGCAGCGGCATTGGGCCAGCAACTCTTGTAATAGGTATCCAGATCTTCCCACTCTTGATGGTAATAAAAACCATCTAAGGACACATCCTGGCATATGTTGTTTATTATATTTGCAGCGTTCTCGTTGGAGCCACAATGGTTGACTAGGACTCCTGATTTTACCAACTTTGCAACATCCTCTGGAGTATCTACTAACATATCCATGGCCCACATATATGATGTAACGTACTCAGGAACTAGACTAGACTGCTCGTATAGTATGAGGTTCCTTAAAACCAACTCAGTGGAATCATGAACATATAGTTTTGGCATCAACAGAGTAGGCTTACACCAAAACGATGGGAAGCATGAAAACCTTGGTAATTCAAGTTTCATGGCCATTGGCCAATTCACATCTTTATTAGCCCTAAAGTTCACCCCTGCCCTATCCAGTTCCATGGCCGAGTGTCTTTCTTGTTCGAAGGCCGGGCCTCCTTTTTGAAGAAAAGATTGTGATCCTGGGAGATGCATAGGCACTAAACAGTTGTGCAGAAGGCCAAGGATATGATCATGAGGCGCAGATAGGTTGATGTTGTCTGTTACTTTATTGTCACGAAAAAGATTATAACCTTTGAGAAGTATTTTGAGATAATCAGTGAGAGAGGGATTTCGTTCAAATTGAGGAAAAGTAGCCTCAAAGATGTCTTTAAGAACAAAAAACGGGATTTGGTTTTCTATCAACAACATATCATTAACTATTAATGGAATAGTCGACCGGTTTCCCAGAAATCTGCCGGCTTTTCCTGAAATAACATAAGTAAAATAAAGGATAAAACATCCATCTATTACCATTATTCTAGCAAGTTCCTCATCCCCGTAGTAGGTCGCTGACTCTTCATAGCATGCCTTGATTTCTTTAATTTTCATACTCACCTTTCGCACACAATCTTCTAACGTTTGCTTTTGTTTGGGGTCACACAGAGCCAATAAATTATGTAAATAAGTCGATTTTTGAACTTCAAACTTTTGCAAATTTGTATCTTTTCCGTGAAGAGGTCCAATAGAGACCAGCCTAGGCGTAAAAGATATTGGGCTGATATCTCGGTACAGTTTAGGAACCATGAAAATTGATGATCGAGGTTGATTGTCACGATCCTGTCCTTTTCTTTTATAATCAAGTAGAAAGTTGACGTTACGTCCAATGCTACCTCTTGCTCCAAGCTCCACATCGTTATTTGACATTAAAATTATTAGCTTAATTCCCTCTATAACAAATAAGTTAGACGAAAGTTTAGAGGGCAATAGAGTATACGTTCCAAAAACCGTGTTAAACTAGATACAATAGTACAATACGTAAAAGTAATAAAAGTTATTTTTTGTAGATTGATTCTATATTGCATACACTTTCCTTTAATTTGTTCAAATAACCTAATATATATATATATATATATATATATATATAATATATATATATATATATATATATATATATATAAAAGATCAATAGATCACTTTCTATAACAGTGTCCTAACTTATTAAGATGTTTTTCATCTGTAAATTAATGTGCATATATGCATATTTTCATTATCTGTATATGTGCATATGGTGCACATTTTACGTATTTTTTTTCCGAATACCAATATGGAAAGAGGTTAATAAATGATGAATTTATATATTTTAAGTTATATTTTTTGATATAAGATAAACTTTAAAACCAAGGTTGAAGAATCATGCACATTTTAGTTTGTGCATATATGCACATCCTTTTTACTTTTTCTAGATACGTTTTCTTCTAAAAAAATTTAATTGACTAGGATCTTGATATATAAATTGAATCGTTAATTTTTCTTTTCAAAAATATGTATTTTTTTACAAAAAAATGTGCATATGTGCACATTTTTCATAGATTTTTTTTTCGAATACCAATATAGAAATAGGTTGAAAAATGATGAGTTTAAATATTTTTATTTATTTTTTTGGATATAAGATAAGGTCTAAAGTGATGGTTGAAACTTTGATTATATTTATCCTAAAAAAGTTAGTGATCTCATTAGAAATTTACTCTCTCTCTCTCTCACTCTCTCTCTCTCTCTCTCTCTTATATATATATATATATATATAATATATATATAATATATATATATATAATATATATGGAAAAATTCAAAAGAGAACTTATATTCTTAAAAATCGCAGCTTTTTTTAAAAATTCGTAGAAAAAAAATTATAAATCGATTTTTTTATTTTTTATTTTATAATCTATTTATTTTTTGGTTTTTTTTTCCAAAAACAATTTCAGCGAAATTATATAAAAAGTTGTGATTTTTAAAAATATAAAGTCAAAAAAAAAAGATTTGTGGTCCCTAAGTATTTTTAAGTATTTTTGTGATTTTTAGGGTTTTTTTAAAATTGTTTGTTTTCCATATATATATAAGCAAGTTTAATGATGAAACATATTCAATGGACATCATATTCAATGGAGAAACCAAGAAATTTGTTATCTACAATAAATTAATGTGCAAAAATTTACATGTCCATGTATATGTGCATATCTAAGATAATATATATATATATATATATATATATATATCTATATATATATATATATATATATATATATATATATATATATATATATATATGTGTGTGTGTGTGTGTGTGCGCGCGCGCGCGCGCTCGCGTACGCGCACACGCATATGCATATGGTTTTTAAAAATGTATGTATACATAAGAAAATAGTATAAATATGCATTTCTTTGAAGAAATCTTTTTTTAAATATTAATTTCAAAATAAAAGCAATATTTTTATTGATTTGTAAAAAAAATTAATTTTTTATTATTTAAAAATCTTTTTTGTTTAAATAAGCGAAAATAATGCTAATAAAATTTAAATATAGTTTTTTTTTCAAAAAACTATATTTTTGATTAATATTATTATTAGTTTGTCATATCCATATTTATAAAAAAAACATGTGCATATCATATGCTCTTAAAAAAAAAAAATTCTTTTTGTCTTTTCAATTCTCTTAGATATGTATATGCACATTAAATTTGGTATCTAAATTTGTTGTAGATAAAAAGTTTGTTGATTCACTCCCTTAATTTAGTTTTTCGAGATATATATATATATATATATATCTATATATATATATATATATATATATATATATATTATGGTTGACGGCATAACTAATTATATTCGTTAGCTCGGAAATTTGCCACTTGTTTATCAAAACCTGTTTCAATATGTTTAAATATAATTACTTTAAGAAATAATATTTGAAAATATAAATTTAATTTCTTATTCATTTAACTGACCCATATCGAATACAAATATTATTATTCGGTTAACTGAATCGAATAACCGATTAACTTAACATAATTTCCGTAGTTCCAATAAAAGATATGAAAAATAGGACGTTAATATAAAGTTAACTTTTATATTCTTTATAATACTTTTCAATTGTTTTGATATGGTTAAACTAGAAAGACAATATTACTATTACCGGATCATAGTATACGTGATTAGTGCACATAAAACAAATAATCAACACAGTAATATACTAATATAAACTTTTACTAAATGAGGGTTAGTCAAAACCAACAGGGTTAGTCAAAACAAACTGTTACTAGCTAACAACGTATAATAAAAAAATTTCAACTACGTTTCAAGTCTTAACATCTTAATTATTATTTGTGTAAGTGGGTTTGTTTTTTCAAGTTTATATAGAAAAGTCTCATTAATTTATGAAAATTTTTGATGAAGTCCTATACTTTTTTTTAACAGAAAAAAACCGATTATTTAATATTTTTTCAAATTAACGAAAAAGTTCTTATTTTTATTTAACAAAAATGAAAGATTATCGTATAAAATTAAATAATCGAGATTTTTCTATTTAAAAAATTTATGATTTTATCAAAAAAAAAATTAAAATAATGAAACTTTTCTATAAAAAAAACCCTTATGTTTCCTAAGTTTTTACACAAACATGAACTATTGCCATTGTATTAGATCAAACAACTAAAAATGAAGAGACACAATCCATTTCATAATTTGAGTTTTTTATTTTTTATTTTTTATTTTTTATTTATTTGTTTTATTTAATTTTTTTTAAATAGTACACAAATAAGAATTGTATAGTACAAACGAATTGAAATGACATAAACTATAGCCAATATGTAAGTAAATACGTCATAAAAGAAATTACCTGTTTTCTTTCTATATTCTTTATAAGAAAAACAGTTCCAGTTTTGCAGAGTATATTTTGAGAGTTTTGAACTATTTGAGGAGAGTCTGATGGTGATAAGGTATATATATAAGTATTATGTAATGGAAAATTCGTGTGATTGTAAATTTGGGTTGACCCAAACAAAGTCTTTCAAAATATCTTATGTATGATGGAAAATTCTTACGATAATAAATTTGGGTTGTTTGATATAAGAGTATTATGTGATGGAAAATTAGTGTGATTGTAAATTTAGGTTGACCCAAACAGAGTCTTTCTAAATATCTTATGTATGATGGAAAATTCATGTGATAATAAATTTGGGTTCACTCAAACAAAGTCTTTCTAAATATAATACAATGAAACACACACCACACTATATATAATATTATATTATATATATTATATATTATATTTTGTATATACTATATATTAATTTTGAAACCCATGTATTATATATATTTATTTAAAAAAAATTAAATATAAATGTCTAAATATTTGAATTTATAAGAATATGAAAAAATATTGAATTGTTAAAATTGAATTGTTTTTTTCTTTTTTAAATTTAAACATATAATTTACATAAATAAACATAGGAAATTAATGGGTCTTTAATCTAGGTATTTTGAAATTAAAAGGTAAGTTTATTTATGAAACTGATTCCAATTATTATTACATTTATTGTAGTTATTAAATTTAAATATTATGTGGAATTTAATAAAGTAAAAAAAAACTATAAAAATATATATGGACAAATATTAATTTAGAATAATCATAAAATGACATATGACAAAATTAATTAGAGTATGATATATAGCAAATTTAAGTTAGGTTAAAATTTTTATATTACACAGGGTTGACAAATTAAAAATAATATGTATTATAACGAAAACATAGCTATGTTTTTAGAGTAATATATTTTTTTCGCATCCATGATTCCTTACTTGAGAATAACACTTTCATTTTTGTTTTAATGTAACAAATCTCACAAATTGAAAATACGCTAGTATAATAAAGTAAGTATTGTACTTTGAAAGTAGATTTTTATAATATCAACGACTTTTGTTTGTTTTTTTTACAAGCACACAACCATACAAGCACAGGCAAACATATAGATATTGTCACACCCCCAAACCAGAACGGCGGAAACGTCTGAGGCGGATGGAGTGACTTCATGTACTGTATCATAAAAATTGAATATAAATGAAACATAGCAACACAAACATTCATTCACCGATGATTCAAGTTTGCATTGTTTACAACACTTTGTTTGTTCAAAAGTTGAATACAAATAACTGAAAAATAGAAAGAACATGAGACGACGACGCCGGCCCTCAAAAAGGGTTGAGTACCTGTCTACTGGTTTCCTGAGAATATAAGTGATTTTGAAAAAGTGTCAACAATTAAGTTGGTGAGTTCATAAGCATTTTGTATGAAAAGGGTTTGTAATTGTTTCGCCAAAAAAATGGTTTTGTATACTTCCAGAAAATCCGATATTTTTTCTTTAATATGAACTGTAATTGTATGTAATTCCTTTGTATCTTTTCCTTGTAAAGTAATAATGTATGTTTCCAGAAAAACAAATATTTTCATAAATGTGAACTGTAGTCTTAAACCCTAAGACCAAGATGTAAGTGAATGTTGTACTGAAAATAGTATATAGTTTTATTTCGGTTTATAAAACTAATGAAGTGTAAGCTTCCCGTAAACCAAGTAGTTTTGCTAATTCCTATGTGAGTTATTATAACCATGCTTGATATGACTGATATGCCTGAACGACGTTCTTCAGGCGTCAGAATTGGTAGACTTTTGTCACCCTAGACTTGCCGGTATAACTGTAGCGAACAATTGAGGTGTGGGGTTGTCAATCCTGTATAGATCTATACACAACGGTCTCGCTCTCCCTCCAGGAGACTCTGGTTATAATGCAGGACTTACGGTGTACGCTAGGTAGGTACAGTGAAGGAACGTCTCACAAGAGCATTTATAGATTTACGTGAACTATGACTAACTTTTTCTCGTAATATTAAATATTATACTTTTGGGTAATTATATGTATCCTCTAAAAATGATCGTATGGTTGTGTAGCAGTCAAAATATACTGTTTATATTTTAACTTGGTTTGTTTGAAAATATTCATATAATCCTTTATATAAATGTGTATGTGTATCTAGTATCAAAATATGAAATTCAAAACGTAATGTTTTTGGGTTGTAACTCACCAAATTTGTAAATGACTGTAATGTAACCATTTTTGCTAGAAAATCTAACTTTTAGTAAAACTTTCCAAAAACCATGTAGTTTTACAGCCAAAAAATTTCTTATGATTTTATAACATAGATTATGTTTGTTTTAACAATATGTATATCACAAATATTTATACCAAAACTAGTATAAAATATAACTTGCACAAATAATATTTTATTTTTAACATAAAGATGAAAACATGTAATTATTTTTGGGATAAACAAAGTTTTACTTGTATTCCCCCCCCCCCCCCCCCCAAAACATGGAAAAAGCTTGAAAATATGGGGGTATGAACTCACCTTGGTTTAGTTTGGTGGATGATTTGAAGTGTTGTGAAGAGATTTCGAGCCTAAACACTAGGATGCTCTTGATGAACACCTTGAAGCTTATAATACCCTAAGAAGGTTAACATACGAATTTGTGTGTAAATGAGGATGAAATTTACATAATAATGTATAACAACACTAGGGTTGTCGAGATTACTTACCAAACTCTAAGGACCACTTAGATGATGAAGATCTTTGGGAAGAACCAAGCTTGTTCTTGAGAGTATTTTGAAATATGAAGCTGGAGTGTAGAAGGAAATGGAAGAAGGAAAATTGAAGAGTGTTGGTAAATGGAAGGAGTCTTCTGTCGTGATTTAAATGGAAGGAATGGGTATGGATGTATGTTAGATAATTGAATGGTGTGCATGGTAGTTTGTTGGGTAAAAAGAGGTAAGGCTGAAGTATCGTCTTTTGATGTCAATATCCTATTATTTTAAGTAGTTACAGGAAAGAACTTGCTGGAAACTCTTTTGTATGACCGAAATCACCCCATGTAACGCCCGTAGATCCGGGCTATTCAATTTAGAGACGATAAGCGTCAAAAATGACTTTTTGATAGAAGAGTGTTTAGAATAAATAATCTTAACCAAGTTGTAGTATATGTCACAAGGTTTCCGTGCATATAAAGAATGCCGAAATCCGAGTTATAACGAAGAAGTTATGACCTGTCGAACTTTCGCGACAGAACCGGCACAACACAGCGCGACGTAAATAGTGAATTTACGATAGAGCGATATTTAGTCTTAGTGATCTAAACGAAAGTCGTAGAATACGTTAAACCGAGAGCGTGCATAGAAAGAACGTCTAAATCTGACTTAGTATGAGGAAGTTATGATTTTTCGAAGTTCCAACTTAGCAGTATGCAACCCAAAGTTCAAATATGGGATCGAGTGGTTTCTAGCCGAAACAATCTAAACGAGAATCGAAGATCTCGTCGATAGTAGTCCAACGGTAAAAAAGACAGACGAAAACAGACGTCTGATGAAGAAGTTATGAATTTCTAACGGAGTTTTCCTGTCCCGACCTACTAAAAATAATATAATAAAAATAAAATCAAAACTTGCCGACGGAGTCTAAACGAAAGTTATAGAGCATAGTCTCACATACGCGTGGATATAAAGAACGTAAAAAACGGAGCTCGTATACAGAAGTTATGAATTTATGAAGTTTTTAAATAAATAAAATAAATAAATAAAAATATTAATTCGGAGCTTATCCGAAGTGGTGACGCGTCCGGTCTGATCCACCCAGTACGCCCAGCGTACTAGGCGTACGCCCAGCGTACATGTCGACAGCGGAGTACGCCCAACGTAAATCGGGGTTCAGCACCCTATAAATAGAACATGAGGGCTGCCGATCTTTTTGCTAATTTCCACTTCTTTCACCCCTTTTTCTTTCTTTTAGTTTGCAAGAAATACCCCCGAAACCCCGGTATCATCCCGACACCCGAAGCAAGTCCCGAAGCCCCGAAGATCCCGAGAAGAAAAGAGTTTCGAGCCGAAATTCTGCCCGCGAGAAGCCCGATTTTGGAAGATATTCCGGTTTCATCGAAGATTATTATTTGAAGAGCTGTAGTGCTGTCCGACAATCGTCTTAACAAGTGAATGTGTAGTTACTTTCTTCTAACACATAGATATGAAGTATTTGCTATGAAATACGTGTTATGTGTTTATATATATATTGTTTGTTTACATGATATGGATGTTGAAGGAATGTTTTATACAGTTTTTTAAATGGTTAAACTGTATATGTAATTTTTATCTACAAATATGTTGGGTAGAACATGGGTAGACGAAATAGTTGGTGTGTGATGAAAGATGAGTTTGAGGATGAGACGAAAGATGGTTTAGATCATGAGATGAGGGTGACAGGTGAAAACTGAGTGAAACCTTTACCCAAACGATGGCCCCGTCATTCAGCAGAGTAGGGATGACAACCACAGACTATTCTAGACGGTCCTTTGGAACACTAGCAGGCTCACAACCTGTAGGTGTTGTGGACTTGATGTTCACCGGTGTACTCTAAAAACCCTGGAAGCTATGGACTTAGTGTCTTATATACATACGATGGTAGCTATGGATTTAGTACTGTGTAGATGAACCTTGGTAGCTATGGATATAGTACTATGTAGATGAACCTTGGCAGCTATGGATTTAGTGTTTGTTATAGGAACCTTGGGCAGCAATGGACTTTGTGCCAATTCCTTAGGTCAATCCTTAGTAATGAATGAATAAACGATAGTTGATTCTTACGGTAAATCCTTAAGAAATAAAGAAGATAATGGGGATGGGTAATTGGGTTGATTGTTTGATGATTAAATATAATAATTATATTATTGTGGGTTGAAAACCCTATATGCTCACCAGGCTCCGAAGCCTGACCCACTCAGTTTTATTTGTATTACAGGTAGTGGCGCGAGAGCATAAGTTGGATGAATCATCAAGTTATTTTGTTTATAGGCCTGTAGTTGTATATAACTGTTGTAAGGCTTATAATGTGCCGTTTATGCTTTTGGTCTGTATCAGAACATGACATCCCGAATTTTGTTATATAATGAAAAATACATTTCTTTAAGAAATTCTTTGATAAATCTTATTTTATCATATTTTGTTTTGGGAACAAATTCCGCAACTCTTTTAAATCAAAGGATTTACTCTTATTTTATTTTAAAAGCATATATTAAATCGGTCTTCTCTGACCGTGAAATTGGGGATGTCACAGTTGCTATCAGAGCATTAGTTTAAGCGAACTAGGAATTTGTAGGATTTCTAGACTTAAACATAGAATGCTAAGTGAAGATTGTGAGAGAAGTGTCTGTTATATTATAGACACGAGCACTAGTTTATTTTAGGAAAGATGTCTAAAATGCTTTTATGTGCTAAATGTTATATGTTTGCCATATATGATATTATTTGTTCGGATCTACGGTTTGTTGCCGACTGGATCTGGAAACCTTATGTGTTTAGGATTCTAAGCGTACGACTACGATATTAGAACTAGCATGTAAACGTTTCAGAGTGATAAGGATGAATTGAATATCTATCGTGAATGAGGATCTAAATTCACCTTATTCAATGTATAGATCAAAAATGGCAAGAACAAGAAGCGGAGTTGGAAACGCAAATGAAAACAGGAATCAACCACCTGTAATCGAGCAAATACCTGTTGTAGTAGCAGCACCTGAGCCAATGACAATGGCTGGTGTACAATTGATGATTCAGACGATGTTGGATCGTCAGATGGAAGAAACTAGACGTCTGCTTCAGCAAAATCGTGAAGAACCCTCAATGCCAATTGTACAGCCCGAATTAAGTGAAGGGTAGTCTGAAGGAGTGAACTTCAGTGGGATTATTGGTCAAGCCAACCCACCGTTGGTTAGACATAACAACC